TAAATATAAATTTAAAATAATGCAAATCATTCCTTAATAAAAATAAAGATCAGAGATTTCAGTGCTTATATGCTATAAGAAAATCGGTTAAACGTAAGAAAATTTATCATAAAATAATAATTAAAAAAAGCTGAAATAATAAAAATATGTTAATTTAAAAGATATAAACTTCAAAATAAACAAAAGGTAGATCTCAAAATCTTTTTAAAATATTTCATTCTCATCATTCAGTAACAAATAAAAACACCAATATTTTAACTTTAAAGAAGTAAAATATATTTTCATGCATACATAAATAATATATCATTTGTGTGCAGTGTACAATGACTTGTTGGTTGACATTTACGGTATAAGACAGCTTAGGACGGGGGTTTAAATTCTCTTTGGCACAGTTGATCTTAAGAATGTGGTACTCGAATTATTAGATAAATTAGGGTGACTGGAGGCTCGTATAATATCCTCTGTTAATTTCTTAAAAAAAAAAGAAAAAAAAAAAGAGTAATATGTGAGTAAAAAAATTGAAGTTGTGGAGTTTCATATGTAAATACATAATAATTGATTGGTACTTAAAAGAGAGGAGGTGGAAATGGTGAATGATGATGATGGGGGTGCGCGCGTGTAGGCGGAAGTGCGCGTGCGCCAGCATAAGCAAGACACGATGGGATGTTGGAGGCCGCAAACGCATGCAGCTTATTTAAAAGCTCAAAGCCAGCTTCCGCAGAAGGGATTAACAGGCTTCAGTCGGGGATGTTCCCATTATACCAAACATCATCATGCCTAATTCCTCTCTTCCCACTATGCCTTCTTTTCCCTAATTCCTCTTTTCTTCACGAGCCACATCCCACTTGATTTTGGTTTTTTTTGCATTTAAATTACTCTCTATTTTGTTATTTATTATAAAGAAAATTTATAAAAGTAGAAATATAATAAGAAGTTACAGCGTGGACGGCAGACATTAAATCTTTATTTTAATATGATGCTATATATATAAGCTTAGGATGTTTGGGGAGCCTACAGGTTTTGTACATGTGATTGTAAAAGTGTAATGGAAAAATCATTTGTAGAAATTATTAGGTTTGATTGTAAAATTTAAAAATCGAATCAATAGAAAATGTTTTTCAAATTGAACTTTGTTTTAATTTTAATCAATTTATTCAATTAATCAAAATACACTTATCTTTATAAATGTTATAATTACGTTTATCCTAATTTGAATGTATTATGAAAAATATCAGCTAATAATTGGTGCAATTTATAACTTCTTAGTGAGTAATAACTAATATTCAAATTGATATTTTCACCACTTATTTTTCTATAATCGATATGTTTTGCTTATTTATTATATTAAAAATTAGTATATTTTTTATTATTGATTTAATTAATTTTTACAAAATAAATTCGCGTGTTCCGCCAACTTATCCAAAACAGTATTTAGGTTTTTACACTAAACGCAGACCGCAGACCGACCACGGGCCATTTTTCCCAGGATAAACAGTTTATCCTAAAACACACAACCTGCCCCAAACGCACCCACAATCACCTTATTTCATTGATAAGCCACAAGTTCTTTTACCATTCCACCATTACCTATTTAGTATGATATAGCGTTAATTCTACCCTAAGGTGGCGAAACAGAGGGTATAAAAATCATATGAGTAATTTCTTAGTCATTTATATGAAAAATAATTCAGGATAATTACATATACAACACCTGAAACATTGCTATTTACAAATCAGCGTCCTCTTTCATCCATTTGTCAAATTCTCACTCAAATTGCAATTCTCAATGGCTTGCCGGTGGATCGCATAAATGCATTGATTCGGTAGTTCAAAAAATCAAGTGAGTGTTTTGATCGCTCTGTATCTAATTTCTCATACCATTCACCTCACCTATTGCACATTAAAATTTATATACTTCTAAAACAAAAATCTGCAGCATTGATAAAGATTTATGGACATAATTTTTTAAAACAGAATTATTTAAAGTACGTTGATCAATTTAGATTTTGCATCAACCGACAATAATTGTTGAGTTCCACCTAACCATAATTGTGCCCAAATTATTGATCAACTTTTGATGGTTAGGATATTCCTTCAATATTGCATCCACAGGATGCAATCACAACTTCCTCGGATGATTGTAATGACAGTACAAAATCCTTGTAGGCATCACAGGAAAACAAGGAAGGTTGACGTCCGATTATCAATAAATAGCACTAAATTACTTAGAAAAATTTACATACATACCACTCAATTGTTATGTATGAAAGGTTATGTTTCACTTTTTAAAAATTGATAATAACAGTAATATGGAAGTGATGAAAATTTTAGGCAATACATGTGCAAAAAGCATAGTTTAAATGTCAGATATGTAAATGCATAGAAATGGGGTGGTATGTATGTAAATGGCCCAATTATTTAATGTGAGAAATTGAGTCAATAGTGAGATGATTTGCACTTATTAGCTATTAATGACATCCCACACAATAAATAGCATGCAAAAACAACAACAATTAAAAAAAAAACAGCTAGTTTTCATAAGAAACAAAGCTTGAATATGAATTTCACATACAATTTTACACCAAGCTAAACCTAAACCTTTTATGCCACCAATGCCATCTAAGCTGCCAGCCTACTGCTACATATTTCACCACTTTAAGCTCAGATGACACATGAAATAATTATGGATATATATATTCTCAGCAAGAGTAAAGCTGTGTACACAAATCAAAGAACTAAAGAAACGAAACTCATCTTCTTTAAGATTGAAGTCTCAAAATAGTCCATTGATTGTTTACATGAGGGTCATTTTAGTCCCAAAGTCTATAAGAATATCAAATTAGTTCTCCGACTCTTTAGATTGAAGTTATTTCAGCCAATACTAAAAGAATTTACTACGGCTAAATTGATATTTTTATAGACTCGGACTAAAATGACTCACTCGTAAAGAATCGAAGAACTATTTTGACACTTTTCTCTTTTGCCTAATATGAATTTGCACAAGTGAGAAATTTCGCAGCTTATTAAAGAATATACAAAAGAACATCTTATGATTCGAGGGAGACACTTGCCTGATTGTTGGCTACAGAGAGGTCAGAATGGGACTTGCTGCTGATTATAGATGGCGGAGACCACTGATCTGGAACCACAAGAAAATAGGCAGACATGGCCTTCCTGAAGCGCTTCTTGTACTGTTCGGGTGAAATTACAGTAGGAGATACATTTTTGGGCCCGCCGAGTATACCTGAAGCTTTAACCCATGTTTCCAGGTGTTTGTCCCAAGTATACTGCCGCATGAAATCAATGATTCCCAGAACAAGTTCATGGTTCTGCTCATCCACCCCCACCAGAAGTGAATAATCCATCACATCAATGGACTGCAATAGCATTGTTTTGATGAAGTGAGAAAATGGGCTTTTTCGATATATAGAGAAAATGATCAAAATGATCTCCCGGACTTTTGCAGGAGGCCGAAAAGATTCTAAAATACGTAAAAAGGTAATTTGATCTCCAGACTATTTAAATGGGAACCAAAATAATCTCTATTTAAATAGTATGAGGACTAAACGGGCCTTACACAAAAGGATTATTTTGGCTCCCTATAAATAGTATGGGTTCATTTTGGTTCTCCAAACGCAAATTGTGTTAAGAGTCTTGATGTAATATTTTCTCGATAAAAATATTACATCAGGACTCCGAATCCAATGATGGGGCACCACTTGTGAAGTGGGCTTCACCATTTTTAGCACCGGCCAATGTCAGTGTATTGCGGTGGGGCCCACTGACTCCGAACAAAAATTACGTTAGGAGGCCTGATCTAATATTTTCTCGATATAAAGAGTTATGCAGGAAAGAGATTGAAAACAACAAAGTTGTAAGGCTTACAGCGAGAAAAGATGTATCATTCCAAACAGCTCTTTCCAATATCCTCTTGGCTTTATTTCCAACAAAAATGGGGGAGGTTGGCATTGTCTCAATTAAGTTCTGATCTAGGAGTACTTTGTTGTTGCCGCTGCAATCTGGATTGTAGCGTGAACGTGAGGATCCCTTAAGGTCATACACCTTCGTTATGTTTCGTCCAAACAGTAGGTTCTCCATAACCAGCACATCCATCCTAGATTCTTTTCCTCCTTTTACATACTTAATTATAACCTATAACAAGTTTTATATAAGTGGAATAAAATAACAGAGAATACCAAAAAAGAGGGGCGGGAATGTAAACGGTCTAGCAAGGACAGCACAATTTAAAATATTAACATTAACAGAGATGCTAACAAAAGGTTAGTAAAATTAATGAAGGATTTAACATTTTATTGTTTGGTTTCAAAAAAAAAAAAATTGAATACAACGTAAAACACATCCATTGGTAACGGTGGTGGGTGATGGTGGCAGCTGACGGTGGGGGGTGGGGG